GTATAAATTATATTGATGTAGAGTGAAAAGATTCACTAGTCAAAGTTTTTAAAATCGAAGTTAATATAACATAGGTAAGTAATTCTACACTGCTACCTCTTGAAAAGCAATATTATAGTCAGTGTTCAGTTTCTGGAATAATTAACTCATGACACTGCATCCATAATAAAGTAGTTTTTACTTACACAAAGTACTTACAAGGTATTATGCAGCGCGATAGAGAACACCATTTATACTTATTTGCATACTTTTCAGATATCCGCTATGGTGCTCTGAGTACGCATGTAGCCGTTCGCTACTGCTACGACTACGTGCAGCTGTAGAACAAAGTGCTGCGCTACGAATGCTAAATGTAGCTCGCGAATGCTTGCGGGGGTCTACCATAACCTTTCCAAAAACAATCTTAATGAAAGAGTGATAATATTACTCATATTCGTACCACGACAAATTTGTCAACCAAGTAATGTATTATTGCTAAAGTGATTGAAAGAACGAATGATTTCCCAATATTGTCTATACCTTACTAAAAATAGGAAAGATATGACGCTATATGAACTATATAATGCCATCTCTTTCTTTTTTGATGTTCCGAATCGTCTTATCGTAGCAAATAGTCTTACTACAAAAACGTTTAAGCAGATTTACCAGATGCTTAGAAAAAAATCGTACCATAAATTCACGCCTAACCATTGTTTTGGGATGGGCAGGGGTTGGACATTGAATTTAAACCACTGCCTTAGGTTTAACGCGTGTTTCAACCATCGCTACAGATCACCAATACTCAAGGGTCATCGCAACCTACCTTTTACTGTTGTGTTTTATTTCTCTTTTCGTTTATTTGTGGTGATTATTATGGATATCTTGAATTTTATTGATTCTATTGACATGGACGATGTGGATTATGTGGAAATATTTCGAGACAGAATGCATCGCGAGCGAATTAATCCATTCGAGTATTACGACGAAGAGAAATTTCGAAAAAGGTATAGTTCAGTAAAATCTTCGGATCAGAACATAGTGATTGACATGAAAGAAAGGTTCGATTTTGTGCAATATAGACATCGACGAATGCAGAGAAGACAGGTGCCTTCTACATTAACAGGAAATATTGTAAGAAGAAATTTCATACAATAACATTTTTGATATAACGAATTTATTAATAGAATTTGGACAAAATTATGCAATTTTTATTTCAAGAATAGTATTTCAAAAACCTTTTTCTCCAACTTTTTTTTAAATTTCTTTTTCGATCATCAATACTTCAATTAGTAAATTGTGTCTTACATCCGGGTCACAATTCTTTTGTTTGGTACTTTAGTTTTAATTTGTACTCCTCCTCCCATAATTTCGGTGCTCTCTCTTTAACTTCATTGTTGTTTGTAAAATAGTAGTTTTTGGCTTAATCTGAAATAAACAGGCAGAGTTATAGTAAATTATGTGCAAACATAAAATAAGATATTTACGAATTACTCTCTCAACTTTGCGTTTTTTACTTTCTCCTTTCTGTGGCATTTTTTGTTTTTGTGCTATATTGACAATAAGGCGTTTTGGTAGCAGTTTATGTGCCTTTTCGGAATATTTAGGAATTATTATTTTAAATTCTGAGATAAAAATCTGTAGCTAAAAAACAGTACAACTGTCATCATTTATTTAGTAAAATACTTATTGAACAAATGCTGGTTTATCTATCTGTTCAACTGAGTCCTTTGAGAACTGAGAGCTAATTACACCTTATTAGAATGGGTAACAATATTTGACTATGATGTCGTCTTAGAGTGTATTGATATGCAATTTCTGTGTATTTAATCAGGGGAAAAATTCAAATTCATTCCAAAAGGGAACTTTCATAATTTCGTGGTATTTAATTCCCTTGTCTAGGCTGACACTACAACTTTTTCGTCTTGAATCCAACTATCACCACTCTCGCGTTTTTTATCCATTTTTGATACTATTTATCGATTTAAATACAATACGCATGAGAAAAATCGAAAGTTTCTTCAAAAGAAACCAACGATCACTAACACTACACGCACTATCAGTCCTCTCTGAGGGTCAGGTAAAAACTACATTCCGTTACGCTTTATCCAATAACAAAACAGGCTAAACGGTGAAATAAAATAAAAAAAATTTAACAAATTCTTGCATTGTATTGTACAACTTGCAAATTACTTTATATTATTTTATGACAAAACTTTGCTAGTTATTTTAAAATTATTCATAAACCACTGTTGGATCTGCGTAAAATAGAAAAGATGGGGACAAACGGCGAATGACGGAATGAATGAATACTAGTGCTGCCATAGTAGAATATTATATCAGTGCTTATACTTTGTCTACAAAGACTGGCGTTAAACATGATTTTGTGGTGCGACACGTTAAACACTGTTTTAAACAATGTTCAAAGATTAGTCACTGACTAAGTAAACGCATGTTAAAACGGTGATTATTAAATCTTTTGTGGTAAGACTGAATGTTTACGTACATACTTTATGTTATTAACATTCAGAGAATTTTAACTGTTAAAAAAAGAAAAGTACTGTACTCAATGCTCAAGTCAGGAATTGAGCAGACTTGAGTATGATTTCAAGCACTGGAAATACGACCCTAATGGCAACGACTTGAGTATGATTTCTAGTGCTTTGAATCATACTCAAGTCCTGACCTGAGCATTGAGTAGAGTTCTAGAATACGACCCTTAGATTGCTAAATTTGAGTTATGAGCAATATTACTTTAATGTTAAAGTCGCGTCATAGTACGAACTGAGATAATGAATAGTCACAAAGCTGCCAATGAAACATCATAGTTTGAACATTATAATAAGCTTACTTTAAGCTCGTTATGGTACGAAAAGTGAATGTAAGTATAAAGTAATACTGTTTTAAGCGGTTGCGGTAGGCCTCCAGTTTATTGCACATCCTCGTCAGCTACGACATGGTCATATGTGTACAAGTAAAGGGCAATCGTTCTGAGAGTAATATTGTTATTACTATTGGCTATATTTACCAACTAAGAGTAATATCATTTATAATAATTCTTTAGTGCACAAATAAATCTGAGATGACTCTGCTACATACCAACTGGCCACTTTAGATTCAATTGACAACCGTGTCAAGAGGCTTGTAGGTGACTCGGAATTAGTGGAGACGAAGCAGGAGAACCTTGAACCTTGAACACCGCCGTAAAGTTGCCTGCTTATCCGTATTTTATAGGATTTATCAGGGGGCGTGTGCGATGGAATTACACGATTTAATTCCGCCTTCCCCTTTCCATCACCGGGGGACTAGGCGTAGGCTTGGGTTCCACCTCTATGTTGTGGATATTCCAAAGATTCGCACGAAGCGTTATGCTTCCACATTTATATGGTGAACGGCAATGGAGTGGAATTCCCTGCCTGCAGACTTATTCCTTGAACGTTATAACTTTCAAGGCGAGAGTGAATAGGCATTATGTAGGTGTGTTTGCTCCATCGTCGACCTCGTCGTCACTTTCCCTCAGGTGAGATGGAGGTCAAATGCGCGATTATAATTTATATTAAAAAAATTCATTGAAATTTTCAAGTTACAAAGGACATATACAAAGGTGAGCCTATCTCTAGAAGATATATCTTATAGCCAACCCTAGCCGTGGAGAATAAACTAAGGGCCGTATTCCAGAACTCTACTCAATGCTCAAGTCAAGATCTGAGTATGATTTCAAGCACTGGAAATACGACCCTAATGACAGGGACTTGAGTATGATTTCGAGTGCTTTAAACCATACTCAGATCCTGACTTGAGCATTGAGTAGAGTTCTAGAATACGACCCTAAGTCTGAGGGACATTGTTGTATAATACATTTATTAAAATTCAAATGTAAGTATAGTTATCAATGACGATAACATAAATATGGTTGTAATATAAACCTACATAAACTTGACATATATTAATACATAAAGAATACATACATACAATATATACTATTATAAAAACAAATTATTTACTTTATATTTGTGTTACTGTATTTTTATTTTAAAAATCCGACTCCAAAACATTGATATTCACTTTCGCTGTGTTAGTTGCGGCTTCTTCCGCAACCACAATTGAAAAGTAAAGGGAAGTCCTCGTCGAAACGAATCATATAACGCACACACTCAACATACTCTGCTATTTCTGCTATGTCTGCTATTTCCATCATTTTATCAGATCTTAGAGGATGGAATAAATAAAGGAGTATCAGCTTAGAATCACCAAAAAACTTTTTTTTTCTTGCCAGGATTTACGTGATTTTCTTACCATTGGAATTATACCTATATGTCAAGTTTTTTTTAAATCGGTAAACGGGTGAAATTCAATAAACCGGGTTCATCCCTAACGTACCACCCTTAGAGGAAAAATATTGTTCTCAAATTTAAATGAGTACTAATGAGGTAACCCCTTTTTCAGCAAAATAAGAATCATTGAAATCGCTTCATTAAACGCGTAACATATCATAAAAATATATAGTCGAATTGAGCACCTCCTTCTTTTGGGGTGACTTTATTAGAAATAAATTAAAATATGCAGGTACTATAAAAGCTAAAGTACTAGAAACTAAAACTAGGATTCCTCCTTTTTTGAGGCCGGTTAAATATAGGATTTATAACTTGTTTATAATATGTTTTAAGGTAATTGAGCCGTAGCCTCATTTCATACCGACATTTTATCATTTTAAAATTACGTATTATACATATTAAATTAAATTATTTTTATTTTCGCTAAATTAAAGTGCTACACAACGCGCAAACCAAGTGTTCTACAAGCGTGTCAAAACCAACTTTTACTAGGTATCACAAAAATTTTAAATGCGAATTCGCATTAGCAAAGTGTTTGGAACCATCCTTTACAACGTTAAGTAATTTTAGAAATGGTAATAATAACCTTCTGGCATGCATTGGTATCACATACACAATTTCTATTTATTTTTGTAAGGAACCAGAATGGACAAAGGAAGGATCAGGTTATTAATATTATTGCTAGGTTACCATGAGTGAGTATATTGATGGTTTCATTGTGGAAGTAGAAGAGGCTGCGAACGCAGTCCGTCCAGCTCTGCAGCGGTCGGTAGCCCGTTAGTACGTACGGGTTAAACTGCAGGTGCTGCGGCATGTCTCGCCAGTGTAGCAATTCTACGCCACCCCCACCTTTATCACCGTCCTTCTTCTCCACATGCACTCCACCACCACACTTCTCCTCTCGACTCTCGCTCTTCTCCGCCTCCGTTGCCTCCTTCCCCTCATTATCACAGATACGCTCTAACGACTTTTTCCTTTTCTTAGGTCCTTTCCCGTTCATCTCTTGAATTGACATATCAAGCATTTTTGTACATGTATCAGGTACGTGAACGTCTCTCATAACGTCTGAGCGATGCTCTCGCGTGGAAGAACAGGAGGCTGAGTGAGTATGAGCATGTCCGGGGATTTGTACAAATATCACAGCTTCAGCATTGACAGGAACCGCAGGGTGCGCGGCTGGGATACGGCGCGTGGTTTCAGTGACCGCGTTGTAATCGGCTGGCGCGGCTGGCGGCCCGCGGGCTGGCGGAGCCCCGGAGCAGTGGCGGCAGCGCGGGCCGCGGAGCGCGCGACTGTCCTCGGGCGCCGCCGCGTGCCCTGGACACCTCCGCCTCCCCCTTGCCCCCCGCTTTTGCGCACTGCGCAATCCCGATCAGCTGATTCCCGCCAGAAGGTCGACCCGCTCCCTTTCTTACACTTAATCGCACTTTCACTCACCGCCAAATCATATTTTGCTAAATGAAAACCTTTTGCATGTTTCTGTTTAATTTTGATAAACGCATAGCGTCAACTTTTTGATTCTGTACAAAGTACACGTCCTACTTAGGTTTATTGCACTTAAAAGTGAACTCGCTTGTATATGCTAAATTTAATATTTCATTTAAACTGTTTATTGTTTGTTTGTTGTAACGCACAGACAAGCTTTTTTATTTTAACATTATTATTAAAATTTGTTACAATGGTATAATCAGAATATTTTTGATATTTGAGCATTATGCTCAAAAATTATGCGGAATATCTGTTTTTATCGAAAGAAGTACACACAAACTAGTTTAAAGTAAAAGCAACCAAGATTAATACTGAATTATAATAATTTGAGCGCTACAAGGAGTCCTTATCTTATCCTCAGATAACTAAACCCCTATTATTAATTTTTCAAACTAATTTTTCGGAATATTTTTAGGAAAAACTATCGATATCATTTCTAGATATAAGAATTAGTAAGTTATGTACTTAGACACATATGTATAATCATTGTTATAGTATAAAAAACCACTAAGAACATTGTATCATCGTTATTAATTTTGGTTAAACATTTTCTCACTTAATCAGATATGAATTTAATTAAAATTCTACAATACAATTTCTTGTATTTCGATATTATTTTAATCTCTTGTCTTTGTAGATTATTGCATAAGTATTATCAAAGTAGATAGTGTTGGATGACATGTACGCGTAAAAATTGAACTTCAAATTTAGTACCTACTGTTCTTCACACATATCAACATTCTCAGGATACAGTGTCAAGTGTTGTATTTTGTTATTTTTGTCTTCTAGGTAAGCATTTCGATGGTTTTTATTGTAAGTCAATGGTTTTTATTATTATTATTATTATTTACAATCAGGCGCCATTCTATAATTAAATTTATAAATATTAAATTAATAAATAAATGGCGGGTTTTATATAAATAGTTACATTTTTTACACGAGTTGATTTTTAGTTTATTTAGTTGTGCGTTTCTTGATTATTTGTTATCATTAAGCTGATGGCTCTGAAGCCAATGCTTTATAAATAAATAATAAATCGTATGTCCAAAGAAAAAAAATTGTAATTACAGTTTTTTAACAAATTAATTTTTAATTTTAAGTATTATTGCGTTTTAAGTTTCTTAGGATCGTATTCCAGAACTCTATACAATGTTCAAGTCAGGACTTGAGCAGACTTGAGTATGATTTCAAGCACTGGAAATACGACCCTAATGGCAAGGATTGAGTATGATGTTCAGTACTCACTGCAATAGGTACTCAAGTCCTGACTTGAGTATTGAGTAGAGAAGAAGAGTATAAATCATACTGAAGTCCTTGCCATTAGGGTCGTATTTCCAGTGCTTGAAATCATACTCAATTCCTGACTTGAGCAATGAGTAGAGTTCTGGAATACGACCATAAATCCTTTGTTGCTTGTTTAAGCTGATGGCTCTATAGCCAATGCTCAACAAATAAATAATAATAATCGTATGTACAAAGTTGTTACGTGATTATTATACTGAAAAGCTTGGTGTCTTCATAAAAAAAATTAAACTTTTGCACATTCTGAATACAATCCAAAAATCGGGGCAGCAGAATTTGGCCATGAGCCTTTCATGAAACTGAGTAACTGAGTCGATCAGCACTAAAATTGTTTTCACAAGAAAAGACATTGTTCTGAAGACATGGTTGTTAGAATTTCGGATTTTCCTATGCTGTAGAATAGTCACTTCATGCATCCTTGTACTTTGTTTATTCGTCTATTACAGCCAGAAGTTGAGGTAACAAAAACGAATCAAATTTTCTAAATCTAAAGAGAAAATTATTTCTACGATGGTAAAATATAGATGAAAATGTAAAATATCTTACAATTATATACTAAATCTATGCTTACAATACACATTCTAAGGTAAGGGCAAATATTCTTCTCAAATAAAACAGCATATTTTATGGAAATAAAATCCTGAACGCATCTTTAATGTTGTTGGATTGCTATAGAAGTACATGTAGTTGAATGCAGATGTCGCTACCATTTCACTACTTCCTTTTCAAACGACGATCTAATTAATGTATTTTCAGGAATCATCTTATCGTACTTCTCCAAATTACTGTTTATTTAAATAACATAATAATTAAATTAAGACAATATATAATATTTTGTAATTATGACTTTAATAATCATTTTATATATTTTTTGACAAGGAAACAACTGCAGGGCTCGCTCGCTTTACGCCATCGCATTTCAACCGACCAACCAAAGCTTGTCTAGGAATCGGATCGATGTTCAGGCCTTGGTTGCAGAGAAGCTTTATTGAGGGCTCTGCGACTAGAACTTGGAATCGTGTTACTAGTTTTACTCAACTATTGTGGTGCAAATTGAAACATTTAGGCCAGCCAAAGGTAAGTTTGATCCACAAATTTGTAATCACTTATTGTAGCTTAGGGCTCCACGAAGTAGAAATCAACATGGCGTCAGAATGTAAATAACTTTACTGTCTGACATTTGCCGTACTGGCATCACAAACTGTTTTCTTCATCATAGGTGGAATTCTAAATCAATAGTAGTATTTTTGTTGATGTTGTCTGTAACTGGCAGATTAATATGTTTTCATTCATTACGTTTTACTTTATTGGTACGTGTTGACTATATACATACAGCTGGTACCAAGTGATTGTGTGGTACAACTTAGTAGCGCTTCTTGTAGAGTTCTAAATGTACAAACCAGCTGGCACATGCTTGTGTTACTAAGTTATCGTTAGATTGATCCATCAACATTATTGTGTTTGTGTAGCATTATGTAGGTATTTATTTACACACTTCCATTAGCTGAGAAATAAGAGCACCTTTCTTGTATCATTGCAAGAACCTGCCTCTTTCTTTTCCTCAGAGTGTGTTGAGATAGAATATGCATGTCTCTCTATGTTTCATTACCAATCTTAAGTGCGTCACGGTTGCTTCTTTTCCAAACCTTGCTGCACAAGTTCTGGAGTCGCTAAAAGATTTTATACTGATCTGATACATTGTCTTATTGTATGTACTGAGGCTGTGGTCGACTGGGCCTTGATGACATATTTGGTTATATATGGGAATAACAGACACCATTATAATTCTGTTGCCATCAAAAATATTGTAATAGTAAACACTGTTAGTTACTTACTAGCAACACCGCATTGAGCCTTAGCATTATGACTTAAATTGTTTAATAAATAAATAAATATTAGACATTTCATACGTTGCTTTGATTCCAATGCACTATAACTATAGCACTAGGCAGTATTACAGAAATCGGAAACAACAACAAACACCTACACCCGAGATAAATAATATATTATAATATACAACAAATTATCTATAGAAAATTTAATTGTCTATGTTGACCTGGCCGGTGTCATACCCGGGACCTCAGAGATGTTTACACCATAAAGTCGGTGTGCAAGCCAATTGACCACTCAGGTCATCAATTTCGTTGATAGAGTTTATACTGTTGCTAAAAACTTTGCAACTTCTGTATATAATCCACAGTTCTAATTTCAAAATCATATCTGCTTTTTAGCTAAAAACTATTTCTCATTGTCAGGAACGATTGTGACTTTCCGAACAGTTATAATTAGCATAGCAATTTACTTACAGTACACTTGTTAGAAGTGTCATTGTCTGATCTGATCCTTATGAACAGAAATACTTATGTCTTTGTATGCAAGGTATGGCATATGGCCCAGAGTTAGGTAACCTTACCTTTAGTGACTACTTACACATTTACAGGGTTACAGATTAATTCCTAAGGGCTAAATTCAGCTGAATGAACTCTTTGTGTTTAGTCCCAAATGCGATGTATTCACTGAATGGTAGTGGAGTGTTTGTTGTGCTTGTTTGATGTGTGGTGAAGATGATTTCGAATGTTGACCATTTATATATGGTTTTTCATTACCTTTGTATTTAATTGTTATTGTGTGTTTTACAATTTCTTACTCTATAATAAATCAGAGTACTTACTCCTGAATATTAGCTGTGGAATTTATTAATAAATAAATAATGATTCAATAGTTCCTTTATGGTTAAGTTGTGCATAATGTAGCCAACAGAGATATAAAGTCTAAAGAATATACTAGCACAATTTTGGGTCTAATTTTCAAATGCTGGTAGTCAACAGTATGTTTTTGTCTTGGGACCAATATTATTATTATCACTATTTCTTGATACACTGAGCAGCTTTATTCTTGCCTACTTAGGTTTAATTTGTACTATTTGTTCCCCCATCAGTAGACATTCATATATTCAATACTATATTTTCCAATTTGGTAGGTAAATATATTGACTATTAAATTTTTAGAAGGTGTATTATTGAAATAACACTCACAGTCATGTGCATGCCGGTTTGTTATACTATATGCAATTGACCAGTTGCAAATGGTCTTAAAATATTTATGTTTTTCAGCTTAAACTGCTCTGATACGAGTTGTGGTTACGTTGTAATGGTAAGTGGAAGTACAGGAGTACTTTCCTACTACAACTGGCATTAATATCACATATGTTAAGATCTGATACCTATTATGGACTTATCACATATTCGTCTTAATCAAAACTACACTTAAGTTCTAAACTCGAGTTTCACCAATATAAATTCCATTACTTAAGTTTGGGTGCAAACTTAAATAATGGAATTTATAATAATGTGAGGTACCCCTAAAATGTCAAAATATTTTGTTGTAAATTGTCTCATTCATGCAGCATGTATTGCTATTTAAAAAGGGTTGAACTATACCAACCGACACCAGTTCAACCTATGACACTTAACTCATTTCAGATCCATTAG